TATGTTATTAAGCTATTGATTTTAAATATTATATTTCTCTATTTCTAGAATTGCTATTTGGTTCATTTTCACATCTGGTCAATTTTGATAATTGTTCTTTTGTTCTACTTATTTCATCTTATTTATCACATATGTATTCTATAGCTGACCAAAAATTTAAATACGTGAAATTTTTGTTTTATTCTTTTTTTTTTAATTTTACTAATCCTTGTTCATGGTGGAATGTTTCCTTTCACGTTCAGTAATTTATAAGTTTGAATTTGTATTTTTTAGAGCTTCATCTGCTGGAATATTTGGAGTTGAAAAGTATACTTGTAGAGAGGGGATTTATATCTGCTTCTTCTAAGTATATGCCTGTATTACTAGAAACCCAGGATCACTTTATTCTGCATTTTGGCCGAGGACCTGGAGTTCATAGAGACTGTAAAATTTTGCCTTAAACTTATCATATGAGTACAGAATTGTGGTTAGACATTCTTAGGGGGATTTACTTTTTTAACTCTGTCTAGAACTAAGACCTAGTTAGACATCCTTTCCCCTTCTGTGCAATGTGTTGTTGTTGTTGTTGTTTTAATTTTCACTGAGGATGTTGTTCTTTAGAGGTTTTAGAGTTTTGCAGGGGTCCCTCATCTAAGCTTTCAGCTTGCTTGGACTTCAAACTGTCTTTTGCCCTACTCTCACTCGTACCTTGAGTGGCTGGTTAAAGTCCAGGTACTAGTCTACCATGGGTTGACAGACTCCTTGGAACAAATATCTGTTCCAAAGCTAACACCCTGGGGTTCATAATTTCTGTCCTCCTCTTTCCCTCAGACTGTGAGTAATTCCACTACTTTCCCCTCGTAACCCTGAATTAAAATATTCATTTGTTCGTTTTCAGAATGTACTGAAGTATGCTATATCAGGAAGGATTTTTCTGAAATCAAGTCCAAAATTTTGTGAAAAGTATAAGGGAATCAAATTAGTAATCAGAAATCTGGTTGAAAAATACAGAATGAGAGCAAGTAAAACTAGATTGTTTCAATAAATATTTTTAAGGAAGGGAAAAAAATAAAATGTTCATGCCCCACATTGAAGTATTTTCTTTTTTTTTTTTTTTTTTTTTTTTGAGACGGAGTTTCGCTCTTGTTACCCAGGCTGGAGTGCAATGGCGCGATCTTGGCTCACCGCAACCTCCGCCTCCTGGGTTCAGGCAATTCTCCTGCCTCAGCCTCCTGAGTAGCTGGGATTACAGGCACGCACCACCATGCCCAGCTAATTTTTTGCATTTTTAGTAGAGACGGGGTTTCACCGTGCTGACCAGGATGGTCTCGATCTCTTGACCTCGTGATCCACCCGCCTCGGCCTCCCAAAGTGCTGGGATTACAAGCTTGAGCCACCGCGCCTGGCCTGAAGTATTTTCTTAAGAGCTGAATCAGTTTCCAGTTTTTCTTTCCTTCATCATTGTGCTGTATGTTTATAAATTACTGTTTCCATTTTTTCAGTATGTACATACCATGCCAGTACATTATATTTCAAGTGCATTTCAATCATGCCGTCCCGAAGATAAATTTAGACCACATTGATATTCAGTGTTCCTCAAACCTCCTTAGTAATGTACTTATAAACTACTTTAGATTGGGTCTAATTATATAATAGACTTTTATTGAAGAGTTTTGGCCAGGCACAGAGGCTCATGCCTATGATCCCAGCACTTTGGGAGGCTGAGATGGCTGGATCATTTGAGGTCAGGCATTCAAGATTGGCACAGCCAACTTGGGGAAACGGAATCGCTACTAAACATACAAAAATTAGCTGGGCATGGTTGCACACACTTTAATCTCAGCTCCTTAGAAAGCTGAGGCGGAGAATCGCTTGAACCTGGGAGATGGAGGTTGCAGTAAGCCAAGATCACACCACAGCGCTGCAGCCTGGGTGATACAGCAAGACTCCATCTAAAAAAAAATAAGTTTTTACATTGTATGTTATAGTGATATTTCTATTTCAGGTTGAGATTAGAATCCCAAATTAGAGATCACATTTAGTAAAGGGTGACAAAATTGCTACCTTGACCCTATTCAGTTGAAAACACCAAACACACACGCGCGCGCGCACACACACACACACACACACACACACAATTCAATTGAAAACAACACACACACTATTCATTTGAAAACACACACACACACACACACACACACACACACACACGACTTACTGATACTTGTTAGATTCTTGAGAGAAGTAGAAAAAGAATGAAAAAAAGAGACAACTAACATTTGTATAGCCCAAAAAGCATTATCTTTGAAATCCTGCACTACTCACAAATTGTACTTGTTTTTCATCCTGTGTTTTTCCCTCCCTCCACTTTTTGCCGCAGAAGAATTCCTAAACATCTACATTTTCAAAGTACTTGCTAGGCATTGGAGATACAATGTTGAAAAAAAAATAGATGTGGCCTACATTTCCACTGAACTTATAGTTTATAATGGGAACTAGACAATTGCTTTATAATGTGATATTATGAGTGCTATGATAAGGAAAATATAGATTGATATGGAACACCCAGGACAAGCTCTAAACTTGAGGGGCCAGGGATGTGTTTATAAATGCAAGTATATTAAGTTAAGATTCAACATAAGTATGTTCTCAAAACATACTTTTTAGACTTTCAGAATCATAGGGGAATTTGTTAGAAATGATAATTCTTGGGCCTAATCTCAGGCTACTGAATGAGAAACTCTGGGGAGGGGCCCAGAATTCTGTTTTTCAGCAATCTCTCCAGGTGGTTCTTATTCATGCTGAAAATCAACTAGTGGTATATCTAGATGACCAGATTAAGAAGGCTAGGAGTTAGATCCTGCGAGGCAGAGAGACCAGCTTCTGAGACCTCTGTGGAAGAAAGCAATATGAAACAATTATGAAAGAGTTCATCATGCCTGGAGTATAGGCATGGGGTCTGGAAGAGGGTTATGATGGGCAAAAGATGGAAGGAAGAGGAAAGCAGGGAGAAAATATCATCTGGGTTTTGTAAGCCACATTAAATTATTATTTTTTTTTTGCTTTCTAATTATTTTTATTTTTAATTGATATGTAATAATTGTACATATTTAGGGGTACAGAGTGACATTTTGATACATCAAATACACGATGCAAGGACAGACAGGGTAATTAGCATATCTGTTACCTCAAACATTTGCCATTTCTTTGTGTTGGGAACATTTAAAACTCCTCTTCTAGTATTTGAAAATATATAACCTATTATCATTAACCATCATCACCCTACTATATAATACTAGAACTTCTTCCTCCTATCTAGCTGTAACTTGGTGGCCATTCACCAACCTCTCCCTAGCCTTCTCTCCCTGCTCCCCTGCCCGGCCTCTCATAACCATAATGTTACTTTCTATTTCTGTGGGCTTAACTTTTTTAGCTCACACATATGTGAAAACATGTGGTATTTATCTTTCTGTGCCTGACTTATTTCACTTAACATAATATTCTCCAGGCTCATCCATGTTGCTGTGAATGACAGGATTTGATTCTTTTTTATGGCTACATTAAATTGTTTAGATTTCATTTATCATAAATATTTACAGACAGCCCCTAACTTACAATGATTTAACAATTTCTCAGCTTTAAAATGGTGTGAAACTGTCGCAATTTTGATATATTTCAAATTTTGAATCTTGATCTTTTCCCAGGCTAGTGATGTGCAGTATATGAGATATTCAGTGCTTTATCATAAAATAGGCTTTGTGTTAAATGATTTTGCCCAGCTCTAGGTTAATGTAAGTATTCTGAGTATGTTTAAAGTAGGCTGGTCTAGCCTATGATGTTTGGTAGGCTAAGTGTGTTTAAATGCATTTTCTTTTCTTTTTTTAAAATTTTTATGGTTGAGATGGAGTCTCTCTCTGTTGTCCAGGCTGGAGTGCAGTGGTGCAATCTCAGCTCACTGTGTCCTCTATCTCCCTGGTTCAAGCAATTCCTCTGCCTCAGCCTCCTGAGTAGCTGGGATTACAGGTGCATGCCACCATGCCTGGCTAATTTTTTTGTATTTTTAGTAGAGACGGGGTGTCACCATGTTGGCCAGACTGGTCTTGAACTCAACCTCAGGCAATCCACCTGCCTTGGCCTCCCAGAGTGCTGGGATTATAGGCAAGAGCCACTGTGCCTGGCCTAAATGCATTTTCAATTTATGGGATACTCAATTTATGGTGGCTTTATCAGGAGGTAACCCTATTGGAAGTCAAGGAGCATCTGTGTTTATACATCTGTCTCTTCAAATAGAATGTGAATATATGAGGGCCAGGATGACATTTCCGTACCTCAGAACATCCTTTAATTACTCTTGGCTTATAATTAATGTTAAATAAATGCATGCTGATTAAAAGAGCTTCTTGCATAGCCACAAAAGCCTTGTGAGGTGGGCATTACTACTCATACTTAAGGACAGCTGAAGCTAAGAGAAGGTGAGTGGCTTACTAACATAAAAAGTCAAATGGCTATTTATTTATTGATTTTTGAGATGAAGTTTCACTCTGTCACCCAAGCTGGAGTACAATGGCATGAACTTGGCTCACTGCAAACTCTGCCTCCTGGGTTCAAGAGATTCTCCTGTCTCAGCCTCCTGAGTAGCTGGGATTACAGGCACGTGCCACCATGCGTGGCTGATTTTTGTATTTTTAGTAGAGATGGGGTTTTGCCATGTTGATCAGGCTGGTCTGGAACTCCTGACTTCAGGTGATCCACCTGCCTCAGCCTCTGGAAGTGTTGGGATTACAGGCATGAGCCACTGGGCCCCGCCCAAATTGTCATTTAGAAGCAGAGATGTTTTACAAACCCAAACTGATGGATTTTGCTTTTAGAATCTCTTCTTTATTCTACATTGTCTTTCTGTTAGGGAAGGCTGAGATTACAGAAAATAAGTATGAATATATAAAATATGAGATTTTTTTTTAACCTGTAAGCATTCCAAATGCAATCGTGCTTTATTTATTTATTTATTTATTTTTTTCCAGACAGAAAAGGGGAGTGCACTTCATGAAGCAGCTTTGTTTGGAAAGGTGGATGTTGTACGAGTTCTGTTAGAAACAGGTAACTGTTGTGATTCTGCATGGAGCTTATCCTGCCATATACCATTTCTATTTTGGGAATAGATAAAGGAAAATTTTCTTCACAGATCACCCTCTTGCCTTTGCTCTAAATTGCAGATATGTATTCATATTATGTAGAACTGAGCTTCAGTATTTAGGTAACATTAATATCAATGTGTACCTTCCTTTATGCAATAGATGTTTTAAGTACAAACATCTTAGTTATTACAATTTTGTGCATTTAAGTGCTTTAGAGATAAACTACCAAAAGAAAAGGAGATTTCTGCCTTCTGTAAAAGAGAGGATTGGGAGGCCGAGGCGGGTGGATCACGAGGTCAAGAGATCGAGACCATCCTGGTTAACACGGTGAAACCCCGTCTCTACTAAAACTACAATAAATTAGCTAGGCATGGTGGTGCGTGCCTGTAATCCCAGCTACTCAGGAGGTTGAGGCAGGAGAATTGCCTGAACCCAGGAGGCGGAGGTTGCGGTGAGCCGAGATCGCGCCATTGCACTCCAGCCTGGGTAACAAGAGCGAAACTCCATCTCAAAAAAAAAAAAAAAAAAAAAAAAAAAAAAAAAAGAGAGGAATTGATCCTTGAGAAATTGTCAGAAGTGCTTGGTTTATTGAAGAACATAATTTTCTGGGTTTTATATTGTGAACTAGGGTAAACAGAGATTTGAGTTTCCTCTCCTAAGGTAAATTGTCCTTCTAGTAAGTTAATTAACTGAGTACCTATTGTTAGGCTAGGGAGACTTATTATAAAGGGAATCTTTTAAAGGAAATGCTTTGAAGGAAAAATAAAGTTGGCTTATTTATTTTTATACATTCATTCTTGTTGAAATGAAATAAAGGTAGAACTGAGGTCAGATTTTTTTTTTTTTTTAAGATCGTAAGGCATGGTTACAAATTCATGCTTGTAAACAACTGATGGAAATTTTTCATGTTATGGACTATAGTGACTTTATTTTCCTCTGTAGAAAAATAAAATGAAAGACAATGGCAGACTATTGTGATTGTATTTGTACACAATTTAACAAAGTTAAAATTTCATTTATATTTAACTTTAACATGCAGTGTGGTGATATAACAAATGATTTGAGGAAACCACCTCAATATTAATATGTGCTGATCACACATTTCTATACAAATTTAAACATGTATTAAATAATCTTACAATGAACTTAAATTTGGGACCAGATCCTGTAAACTGGCTTTTTTTAAATTGCAATTATGTATTTGGAAAATTCATACTTTTTTAGGGCAGTGAAAGCTATTTGCTACATTAAAATAAGTTCTTTCATACACTATGTATTTTCACAACTAAAATAATAACAGGTGTTTTAGTTACACACTTCGATAAGTTTGCTCATCAGGTGGATGATGAGTGTGGCTGATGAATATAGTCTTGCATAAATAAATATCATGGAGTATTTGACCGTGTATTTGGATAAATTCTTTGTGGACAACAGTTAAAAATAATCATGCTTTTTCAACTTTGTAGATATTCAAGTGTTCTAAGACTATTCTTATATTACTTACATGGTACATGATTATCATTTACTAAATATTTTTACCATATCATACAGAGTATATAAATCACATGACCATTTTACTTTAGGAATTCACATTCTAAATCAATATATTTTTTTTTTGGTGTAATAGTGTGCTGTTTAGTTAAGTAGTTATAACCCAAAGATACCACAGGGTCCTAAAAAACAATCTTAAGCATTGGATCAGTGCCCTTTAAGAGTTAATTCATGATCAAGAATGTTCCTAATCTTTGGTAGCAAAAGGCCTCCCCTTCTTTCTTGGTAAAATCTTGCGTGTGTTTGTGGTGTATATAGAACTTAATTTTTTTAAAACCACTTTTAGTGCTTGGTCTGTGTATGTTTGAAATTACAGCAGTTAGATACTGATAATATCTTCTAAGGACACTTTAGTGGTGTACATCTAGTGGGTTTTTCTTTTTCTTTCAGGAATTGATGCCAACATAAAGGATAGCTTAGGTAGAACTGTCTTGGACATTCTGAAAGAACATCCATCTCAGAAATCTCTCCAGATTGCAACACTCTTACAAGGTAAATGCATTGAATGATCGATGAGTTTGCCTTAAAGTCAAGATGAAATTGAAACTGTTGTAGTTTTCTTCTGGATTTTGAGTTAGTGTTTACTTTTGAACAAACTTAACTAGTTTTATTTTTTTCTGGTAGACTTTTAAACTAAATAATACTGTAATACCTTTTAATTTTTTATTTTTGTTTTTCAACTACTTGTTATTTTAGAGAAGGTAATGTATTTATTTACTCATTTGGTGAACATTTATTTCTATAGTCAGATGCTGTTTTCTTTATGATTAAGAGAAAAGTGAGATGTTTTCTTGTCTTATACTTATCTGGCTTTGCCACTTATTAGCTGAATGACCACAGACAAGTTAATAATATTCCTCCTTTACTTGTAATCTTTAAAACTTAGTGCATGTGTCATAGTTTTGTAAGGATTAGATGAGTCAATTTATAGAAAATACTTAGAACAATGCTGGATCCATAGTAAGCAATATTTAAGTTTAAGCTGCTATTCCTAATATTATATCTTTATCAACACTAGAAAAATGAAAGATAGGCTGAATATAGGACATTACTTCAAGAATAATGGCAATGAACATTATTTCTTTGTGGAAATAAAGTTAATATGCAAATTATGCTTATCTTACAAGATTACAGCACCATTTTAAAATAAACTTATTCCATTTCATTCATTTATGTTACCTGGCTAGTTGTTGTATCCATATAAACTCAACATTCCTATTTTAGGGATTAAATCTGTTTAAATCATCTTTCAGATAGTTTAAAATTTTCAGATGGAAAATATTTAAGGAGACCAAGGAGTTTATTGTATCTTCAATAGGTGAATTTATTTTTAAGGAAAGAATGTGTTAAATTTCGTTTTTGGAAGAAAGGAGTTCAAGAGATCCTCCCAAAGAATTGAGTGTCTTTTTTTTTAAATTAAAAACTTTAAGTAAATAACTCGTCATGACATTGTTTTGTATGTTTGGTTGTTTTGAAGTTCTTTTGAAAACTTAGGATGTATTTAAGATATAAGAAAATAAATGAAAAACTGATTACCAGAAGTAAAACATAAAATTTATTGATTTAAAAATAAGTGAATTCAAGTATGTAATCTCAAAATTATATACATACAGAGTATTTAGAAGGCATGGGAAGATCTACAGTCCTTGAAGAGCCTGTACAGGAAGATGCAACACAGAAAACACACATTTCATCTCCCGTTGAGTCTCCTTCCCGAAAGACCAAAAGTGAGTGCCTAATTATAAGGCCCTGGAAACTATACTAGACTCTTATGTACAGTTGTGAAAATTTCAAGTCTAATAGGTTATATCCTATACTCTATATTTTATCCATTTTTAAGAGCTCCTGTTGTTGGTTAGGGCTTCTCAGTCCTGAGATACAGTAGTGAGCAAAGCAGAAAATTATCCCTGCTATAGTGAAGTTTATATAAATATGTTCTTTTCTTAAATGTGTTTTTTCCCCAGCTTTATTGAGGTATACTTGGCAAATAAAAATTGTGTATATTTACAGTGTACAACTTGATATATACATTTTGGAGTAATTTCCAAAATCAAGATAATTTACTTACTCATCATCTCACATAGTGTAGTGGTTGTTTTTTGTTTTTTGTTTTTTTGGTGGAGAGAACACTTAAGATCAACTCTCTTAGCAAGTTTCAGGTGTACGATAGAATATTATTAACTATAGTCACCATGCTGTACTTTAAATCTCTAGAATTTATTAATCCCCCATGACTGAACCTTTGTAGCTTTGATCAACACTTTCCCATCTCCTTTACTCCTCATCCCCTAGCAATCACCATTCTACTCTCTGTTTTATGATTTTGACTTTTTTAGATTCCACATATAAGTGAGATCATGCAGTATTTGTCTTTCTGTGCCTGGTTCATTTCACTTAGCATTATGTCCTCTAGGTTCATCCATGTTGTTACAAATGACAGGATCTTTTTTCTTAAGGCTGACCAATAGTCCATTATTTGTGTAGTATATATTTATTTGTATATAAATGTACATTATTTGTATATAAATGTATACACACATTGCATTTTCTTTATCCATTCATCTGAGAGTGGATACTTAAGTTGTTTTCATGTCTTGGCTGTTCTAAATAATCCTGCAGTGAACGGAAGCGTGCAGATATCTCTTCAAGATACTGGTTTCATTCCTTTAAGTAAGCACCCCAAAGTGTGTACCCTGAATCATATGGTAATTCTATTTTTAATTTTTTGAGGAATCTTCATACTGTTTTTCATAGTGGCCATACCATTTTACATTCCCATTGACAGCATACAGGGTTCCCTTTCTCCACATCCTTAGCAACACCTCCTATCTTTTGTCTTTTTGAGAACAGCCATTTTAATAGGTGTGAGGTGATAACCCATTGTGGTTTTGATTTACATTTCCCCGATGTTTAGTGATGCTGAGCACTTTTTCATATACTTTGGGCCATTTATGTGCTTTTTTGGAGAAGTGTCTATTCGGGTCCTTAGCCCATTTTAAAATTAGATTATTTGTGTTTTGCTATTGTGTTATGTGAATTCCTTATGTATTTTGGGTATTAACCTGTTATAAGATCAATGGTTTGTAAATATTTTCTCCCATTCCTTAATTACCTTTTTAGTCTGTTGTTTCATTTGCAGTGGAGAAGCTTTTTAGTTTGATGGAATCCCATGCGTTCATTTTTGCTTTTGTTCATATCAAAAAAATAATTGTCCAAACCAACATCAAGTTTTTTCCCTATGTTTTCTTTTAGGAGTTTTATATTTTCAGGTGTTAATTTTCTAGTCTTGATCTCATTTTTTACATAGATTATGAGATAAGGGTCATATTTCATTCTTGCATGTGGACATTCACTTTCTCAAAACTATTTATTGAACAGACTATCTTTTCCACATTTGTGTTCTTGGAACCCTTGTGAAGAGCTACAGTAATCAAAACAGTATGGTACAGGCATGAAAACAGACATATACACCAATAAAACAGAATAGAGTCCAGAAATAAATTCATGTATCTATAGTCAGCTGATCTGAAATGTGTTTTTATCAGAATAAAAATATTAAAATCTGGATTGTAACTGCTAGAAATTTTTTTCAGAATAAATTATAGGTATAAGGAACCTTTCTGAGACTGTTTAGAAATGTGCATATTTGCATATAATTTACAAAATCTTCATGTTTGACAGATGATGCATATTAATCGGTTTTTTCTGTTTTTGCTTTATATCATATACCATAATTCTTAATGTACTGATTACCTATATCATTATTTGTTTAAATATCTTGTACTATTTCTATTTCTGTTTATTGAACCTAGAAAGAAGATTTTCAGCACCATTTCAAATTTGCTTATGAATTCTGTCAATGAAGTAAAATACCAATAAAAGATTACAGAAATGAAATCCTGTAATAAATGAAACTTTGTGAATTGGAATTCCAGATGCTTTTATGTACTATGTCTATATAATCTTACAATAATTATTTATATTTTGAAAAAGAAGGAAAATAGGCAGAATTATAATCTCTTTTGTCCATTAATATTCTTGTTCTAGTTATAGTTGAGTACCTTGTTTTTAGGAGAATAGTGTCTGTCTGACTGCTTAATCTTGTTATATTTTGAGTTCTATCACCATAGCAGTCATATTTTTATTGCTTATCATTAAGTTTTAACAATAGCCTTTCTTTAAACTTCTGAAAAAATTATTCTCATAGGTGAAACCGTCACTGGAGAATTATCAAAACTCTTGGATGAAATAAAACTCTGTCAAGAAAAGGATTATTCGTTTGAAGACTTGTGCCACACAATATCAGACCACTACTTAGATAATTTGAGCAAGATTTCAGAGGAAGAACTTGGGAAAAATGGAAGCCAGAGTGTAGTAAGTAAGGTGGGGGGAATGAAGACAATGTGTCTGTCTTTGCCAGTTCAGTATGTACACCTAAGAGGCATCAGATGTGGTGCGTTATCAGATTCTGCCAGTATAAGATGTCAGTTTTTTTTATTGCTCTTTTCCTGATGTTCTTTGGGGTTTTCCTCTCAGTGCATCTGTAGGGGAAGGAGTGCTTTGAGACATCACTTGATGATCTGTCTATATTTAGACTCTTTCTTAAAACACATGGATTTTTAGTTTAATTGTTGTTGTTGTTATATTCCTTTAGTTTTACTGGGCATAATGATGTTAGTTCCCAAAGAAAGACAAAAATCTTCATTTTGACTGTCTCCCCATTTTCTCTATGAAATCAGTCTTGTCTCCCCCATTTTCTCTATGAACTCAGTCTAACACCATCTTTAAGGAGTAAAACAGAGCTGAGCCACATGTACAATTTCCTCACCTACTCCTTAAGTCATAGTAGGAGAGAATGTGGGAAGTTCAGTCTGCATATTTTTATAATGTTATGCAAATCCCAGGAGGGTTCTCTTTGATAAGCTCAGAATCTAAAGCATGAGTTACTTCCTGTGACAATCCCTTATGATAGTGTTCTTTGAAAATATTGTCATATAAAATATTAAAGGTTATATGAGGCAGAAAAGCAGATGATATAGTTGAGTACTAGCAAGTAATTCTATTTATTAGGAATAACAGAGTTTACAAAGAGGAAAGAGGGGAGATAAGATTAGAAGGATAGATTGAGGTCAGGCCATGGGTGATTCTCTCTCATTTGGATTTTTATATTAACACAATAGCAAGAAAAACTATAGCGAGTAAATCAGTTTAATATTAAGATTTGTAAACCTACTTTTTGTCCTATAGAGGAAGGATTTATAGTATGTACTGGTATTAAAGGAAATATATTATTCTGATAAGGAATCTTTACTCACTTTTAGAACTTAATTTGTTACAGATATATCATACTTTATTCAAAAGTAATAGAGTAAACTGTGTTAAGTATGTCATATTATTTGTGAAAACTAAAAAGGAAATTGTTAAGTTTAGTGGCTGTCCATTACGAAGACATTTACTTAATTTAGTTACTTAAAGTGATCTGCGACACTGTTTCCTGGGATAGCACTTGCTAATCTAATTCCATAGCTAGTCCTACCTCCTAGGCCTGCTTTTTTTGGTTTCATTTTGTTTTCTGGCTTCACTCTTTTTTGTAAAAACATCCTATTATTAGCCTCAATAAAAATTCTTTATGAATAATTATGAACAGTTGTATATGTACTGGAGTAAATACCTGTAGGTTTTACCAAATGAAATTTTTATATTAATGAAATATTTATAATAGTAACTTTAATGTTGGGACAAAATCCTTTGCTAAAAAACCTGAAACAGATATATGCTATCTTAGATTACCAGTCAGTTACATTTTAATATTTCCTTGAAAGTTAGTTAGAACTTAAAACATATTTGTTCTATATAAACAATACATAGTGTTAACATTTTAAGATCCAACTTTAGATTTATCTAAACTGGCAGCTTGTGGTTTACTTCTAAAACCACAGATATTCTGATAGCCCTAATTCTTGATTATTTGTAAATTGTATATAGAGACTACATTTCTAGTAATATTTGATGCAAATTATGAGACATACACAATGAAAGAAATTCAAATTGAGTAAAGTAGAGAGTAAGTATAAAACAGGAGCTCTAATTATTTTTCGTTTACTCAATGAATATCTTACATTCCTGGGGATCTGTAAGTGCTGCTTGGAGACCATGATTCAAACATCTATCTTTCAGGACGTGATGGCAAAGCTTTTGACGTTAGGAGAGTGACAATAGTTTGGGGAAAAGATGTTCAATTTTTTTTTTCTTTTTGTAAACCAAAGACTATATGGTGAGAGTGGCAAGAAAGAGATTAATGCTCGTAAATTGAGCGTTAAGGTTTTGAAATATGAACTCATGCTTTTCTAATACCACTCTGTTCCTGTGACAAACCTTTACAATAGTGTTCTTTGAAAATATTTCCCTTTAAAATGTTAAAGATTATGTGGAGGCAGAAAAGCAGATGGTATAGATGAGTAAGAGCAAGTAATTCTGTTTATTTAGAAGAATAGAGTTTACAAAAGGGAAAGATGAGAGAGATTAGAAGTCTAGTATGAGGTCAGGCCATGGATGATTTTGAATGTCAGACTAAGAATTTTGGTATTTATTTTTTGGGAAATGATAAAAATCTAAAGGATTTGGGGTAGATAAAAGACATCATTGGAACTGACCTTTCAGAAGATGAATCTGATAGAAACCTGTTATCGAATGTTTAAAAAGTAATCAAATTACTCTGACCCTTCTCTGTAGCCTGTGTTTTATTTGAGTTCCTTCCCTGTTTTGTTGAATATTTGTTTCTATTCATCAAAAATGTTTTTTCCAGAATATTGCTTCAATTATACTTTCCACATGATGCAAAAAGTTTAGTCAAGTATAGGTCACCTAATATAGGTCACCTAATATAGATGATTGTTATCATGTTTTGAGTTGTAAAATTTATAATAGACATGGTTCTTGACTTCCAAGTGATTCAAAACACCTATCTTAAGGAGACTTCAGTCATACTGTGCAGACTATAATTGAAGACTAACATATAAAACAACGAATAAGAACTGACACTTACTAGGTTTTTGCTATTTGCTGCTCTAATGCTTTACATGATTTAAGTCACTTATTAAGTAATCCTAACAATATGGATTTAGAAAATGACTTAGCTGCCAAATGGCAGAGTGATGATTCAAACTTTGAGCCAATGTTTTTAGTTCTCAACCATATTTCTCATAGTATGCTACCTTGTGGCCAAAGGAATTTTTAAAAGGAAGAGATCAGTGAATATATATATTTTTTGAGACAAAGTCTTGCTGTGTTGCCAAGGCTGGAGTGCAGTGGCAAGTGGCATGATATTGGCTCACTGTAACCTCCGACTCCTGGATTCAAGGAATTCTCCTGCCTCAGCCTCCCAAGTAGCTGGGACTACAGGCATCTGCCAGCATGGCAGGCTAATTTTTGTATTTTTATTTTATTTTATTTTATTTTTTAGCAGAGATGGGGTTTCACTGTGTTGGCCATGCTGGTCTTGAACTCCTGACCTCGTGATCTGTGTACCTCAGCTTCCCAAAGTGCTGGGATTACAGGCTTGAGCCAGCGTGCTGGAGGGCAGTTAATATTTATAGATATTAATTGAAGGCTTTGTGGAGGTAGGGAGAGACTAAGCTGTGTCCTGGCAAAAGGGGAGCTGTGCTTTTTACTTTTGTTGCAATAAATGATTGAGAAAGGATTTCAGCCTGAAAAAACAGTATTTGCTAAAGCACAGAGGTGAGAATTAGTGTATAATTTGAGAATGATTTATGATGAGAGTTTGTTTTGGAAAGTAGTAGGAAATAAAGTTGGATAAGTAATGATAATAGCTAAATTTGTGGAACACTTAACTTGTATTAACTGATTTAATTCTCACAATAACCCTATGAAAAGGATAGTATTATTTCTCCACACAGAGAGGTTTTATTACTTTCCCAGGTTCATACAGTAATTACAGAGCTAAAAACACAGCCATTCTGGAGCTGGAGCCATAACCCCTTGCCACTCAACTATACCGTCAGAGAACAAAGGCAGCTAAGTAGGTTGGGAAGCTAGTCAGAAGTTTAAAATTGATGCTGAGAATAAACTCTTGATTAGGGGAGTTCTCATGAGGGTGACATTTTTGGAAAATAAAAGTAGTTGTATATTGGTTGATCTGGGGAGAGGCTCAAAAAATGGTTCTCAGCTATAGTTGCACATTAGATTTACCTAGAGAGGCTCTAAAAATAAATACTGTTGCCCTCAGATACCAGTTCAGACCAACTAAATCAAAATCATTTTGTGTAGCTCTGAGCATTGTTCTTGGAAAAGTTTCTCAGGTTATTCTAACATGGGTACTGTTTGTCTTGAGAACCAAAAATCGGCCAAGATCTTACTGAGGTAATTCAGGTCTGAGATGATGAGTAAGAACTGAGGTCTTGATAACGCCATGAAACTAGAATTTTTTGAGATAGAACAAATCTTGTAGATCTTAATGTCCAGCCTACTGCTCCAATTCCCCAGCCCAGTATAAGAGCTTCTAAAAGTGTCTTGAATTAGGAATTATCTATGCTGTATCAAATTAGCATAGATTGGGTGGCTTGAAAAAAACCCAGCATTTATTTCTCATAGTTCTGGAGTCTTAGAAGCCCAAGATCAAGGTGCCTAGCAGAGCTGGTATCTGGTGAGGTCCTGCTTCTTGGTTTGCCCAGGGCTGTCTTCTGGTTGTATCTTCATGCGGCAAAGAACAGAAAGGGGAAAAGCAGCCTCTCCTGATGTTTTTTTAAAAATATGAACACTAGGCCGGGCGCGGTGGCTCAAGCCTGTAATCCCAGCACTTTGGGAGGCCGAGGCGTGTGGATCACGAGGTCAAGAGATCGAGACCATCCTGGTCAACATCGTGAAACCTCGTCTCTACTAAAAATACAAAACATTAGC